ACCTGCGTGTAAGAGGAGCAGGGTCAGGGACAGCACGTGAGTGGGGAACGCAGGCCCTGAATGGCCCCTGGGGAGGCAGGGGGGTTCAGTAAGAGGAGGCTTAAAGGCCTTAGGGTTTCCTGCACACAAAGCCCCCAGATCTGCGGAACAGCGGGGAGAGTGCAGGTGGAGGGTCACAGAGAGGGTCTCTGAGAGGCAGCAGGGCCGCCTCGAAGGCAGAGGGGAGGCTGAGTCTCTGCAGCGGGGACTTCCATGCCAGGCTGCAGGCTGCTGTGTTTAATGGGAGAGACGAACACTGTCTAAAACACCACTGGGGAGGAAGCCTTGGCAGGTAAGGTGGGGAAGACGGGAGGAGACAGGATTAAGCACGGCAGAGGGGGCGATGGCCAGAGGGGCTGGACCCAGGCATAGGCGTGGTCGGGGTGGGGGTGGTGTGCAGGAAGCAGCAGGTCAGGGGAGAGAGTAAGGATAGAAATGGGGTCTCATGGCGAGTGAGCCACCCAGGCTGTCCTCGCTGAGGTCTGGCCGCCATCTCTGTGTCAAGCAGAAGACAGGGCCGCTGTGTGGGCAGGGAGCGCAGTCCGGGAGCGTGTGGAAGGTCTGGGCTGTTCTCTGCAGAGAACGGAAACGTGGCTTTGGGGTGCCAGGCAGTGCATCAGGCCAGGCTCCATCCTAACCTGCAGGCTCCTCCAGAGCCCTTGCCATCTCCTACAGGGTGGGGTGTGCCAGCGAGGGCTGGGCAAGGGGAGGGGTGAGGGAGGGAGAGGCCACGGCCCCAGGAGAAGGAGAGAATGGAGAGGGCCAGGCAGGATGTCGTCGCTGGGATGCATGACTGGCTATAAATATCAGATATGATCGCCACCCAGGAAAATACTTATAGGGCAGACAGAACATCTGCAGTCTTATGTGATCCACCTGCACAGAAAGCATGAAGACCCCAATAGATAAGCAGCCAACATTTACATCAGATAACTGAAATACAAGAATTAGGAATGGCTAAAAATGACAAAAGACCAGACGTGGTGGCTCACGTCTGTAACCCTGGCATTCTGGGAGGCTAAGTCAGGTGGATCACCTGAGACCAGGAGTTCAAGACCAGCCTGCCAACATGGTGACATTCTGTCTCTACTAAAAATACAAAAATCAGCCAGGCGTGGTGGCTCACACCTGTAATCCCAGCTACTCAGGTGGCTGACGCAGAAGAATGGCTTGAACCCAGGAGGTGGAGGTTGCAGTGAGCTGAGATTGTGCCACTGCACTCCAGCCTGGGCAACAAGAGCGAAACTCTGTCTCATAAATAAACAAACAAACAAACAAATAAATAAATAAATAAAACAAAGGAGACTCGGCCTCACTAGGGATTGAAGAAAGGCAAATTAAAGCTAGATCCTGTGGGGTGTGGTGGCTCACACCCCTAATCCCAGCACTTTGGGAGGTTGAGATGGAAGGATCACTTGAGGCCAAGAGTTCCAGGCCAGCTGGGGCAACACAGCAAGATCCCTGTCTCTAAGAAAATTTTTAAAATTATCCAAGATTGGTATTGCATGCCTGTAGTCCCAGCTACTTGGGAGCCTGAGGAAGTACTGCTTGAGGTCAAGAGGTCGAGGCTGCAGTGACTGCGTCACTGCACTGCAGCCTGGATGACAGAGCAAGACCCCATCTCTAAAAAAAGAAATGAAAAAAGCAAGATCCCATGTTTCCACCTATCAAGTTGGCAATGGTTTAGATGAGAAATACTATATCTTGTTGACAAGATTGTAAATCAGTATAATCTTTCTAGAAAGCAATTTATAGTAACCATCAAGAACACTAAAAATGTTCCTAGTTTTTGACTCAACTTCTACATTTCTGTGAATATATCTTAGGAAAAATTAGAAATGCAAACAAAGCATTAATTTAAAAAAGGTGTTCACTGCAATGGTACTGATGGTTGTAAAAAACTGGAAGGCGGCACTGTGTCCAGCCATAAATGATCAGCCTGGTAATTCTTTTTCTTTTTTTTTTTTTTTTGAGATGGAGTCTCGCTCTGTAGCCCAGGCCGGAGTGCAGTGGAGCAATCTCGGCTCACTGCAACCTCCACCTCCTGGTCCTGGTTCAAGCAATTCTCCTGCCTCAGCCCCCTGAGTAGCTGGGATTACAGGCATGCACCACCATGCCCAACTAATTTTTGTATTTTTAGTAGAGACAGTTTCATCACGTTGGCCAGCCTCGTCTTGAACTACTGACCTCATGATGCGCTCGCCTTGACCTCCCAAAGTGCTGGGATTACAGGCTTGAGCCACTGCGCCTGGCCCAGCCTGATAATTCTGAGAGTCATGATGAAATATGAAGCGAGAGTAAAGCTTATGTCTGAACGAACCTTGAAAACACCAAGCTATGTGAAAGAAGCTGGTCATGAAAGACTACATATTTTATGATTCCGTTCATATGAAATGACCAGAAGGGAAGTCTATGGAGACAGAAAGTAGAATGGTGGTTGCCAAAGGCTTGCAGGTACAGGAGTGATAGCTAAAAGGTATGGGGTTCTTTCCAAGGCGATGAAACTGTTCTAAAATTGACTATGCTGATGGCTGCAAATATCTGTGGAGATACAGAAAACTATTGAATGGGCTGGGTGCGGTGGCTCACACCTGTAATCCCAGCATTTTGGGAGGCTAAGGCAGGTGGATTGCTTAAGTTCAGGAGTTCGAGACCAGCTTGGGTGACACAGTGAGACTCCATCTCTACAAAAATTACAAAAATTAGCCAGGTGTGGTGGCGCACACCTGTAGTCCCAGCTACTCAGGAGGCTGAGGTGGGAGGATCACTGAAGCCTGGGAAGTGAGGCTGCAGTGAGCTGTGATGACATCATTGCACTCCAGCCTGGGCAACAGAGTGAGACCCCCTCCAAAAGAAGAAAAAAGAAAACCATTGACTTGTGCCCTTGAAATGGGCAAGCTGTGAACTGTATCTCCATGAAGCCGCTGAAAAAGACCCCACAATACCGAAAAGAAGAGATGCTTATAAGGAGTTTATAATAAGCCGGGAACCTGCTAAATAGGAAATCCGAGTTGGGAAACACAGAGATGTTTGGGATACAACATGGCACAGATGGTTTGAGATCAACTGTGATTACACAGAAAGGAAAAATGAAAGAAAACTGGCCAGAAAGTTAGGCTAACTATAATTGCACAGTCAGTGGCTTTATTTTCTTCTTAGCACCTCTCTGGACTTTGCAAACTTTCTCCCATCCATGAGAATGGAGGACATCCCTCTCAGAACCACTCCACAGAGAAGCGCACAGCTCTGTGCAGGCCCAGGACCCTTCCTGTGGGGGCATCCAGCCCCCTGGAGTCTGCAGCAGAGGGGAATGAGACACAGTGACTGGGACTGGGATGAGTGTGGCCAGCCCTGTCCCCCCACCAGGTAGAGTTGCTGGATGGGGGTTTGAAAGAAAGTGGCTTGAGGTCAGGTCCAGCTCTCTGCCAGCTGTCTTTTTCGTGCCAGAAAAGCAACTCTGCGCTCACGGTTCCATTCCCCTCCGCATTCTGAATACTCTTGGGTGTTCGCTACCAGCTGCGGGAGCTGGAAAGGGAAGCCAAAGGTACACACCATTCCACCCTCTCCAGATTGACCTCTGCGGCAGCCAGTGGGAGCGCTCTAAAACTCCAATGCGGCCCGGCATTCCCTGCACCAAAGCCTTCCTCAGTGCCCCTCCCTACATCCTCATCTCCAGCCCCGCCCTATCCCCCCAGCCAACTCCCAGAGACCAGCTCCTGTGACCTCCGACCTCCTCGAGAGGGACTCCCATGCTGGGCACAGCCCCTCTCCATTCCCGAGAACCCCCGGTCACCTGTCGCTTCCCCCATGGACCACGGGCCAATCCAGGGATGGAGACGGTCCACTTGCCTGACCAGCACCCAGCACTGAGCCAAGGAGGGGCTGCAGGGTCAGGGGGCTCTGTGAATCCAGAGGGTGGGCTACAGGGTGGGTGCCTCTGTGAACCCAGAGAGGGTAGGCTGGAGGGTGGGGGACTCTGTGAACCTGGAGAGGGTAGGCTGCAGGGTGGAGGAGTGGGGGTCTGTGAATCTGGAGGGTGGACTGCAGGGTGGAGGGGTGGGGGGGTCT